AAACATTTCCATTATTTGGAGTCATAGGCAAAGTACCGTAACATAGCCTAATTTTTTTTACACATAAGCTTCTCCGTGTTGGTTAGATAACAAAGATTTTAATGCAATTAAATTCTCTTTAATTTTTTAGAGGATGTTTTAGAAAATGATGGCGAATTGGATAGTTTTAAAGATCAACTAAGAAAATGTTATAACAATTATTATTAATATTATGGTTATTAACTTTTCAATGATACTAGCAATTGTAATTATTATAAATAGTACATAGAAAAAAAATAAATAACATTTTCATCTAGTAAATTGTATAATTGTTAGAAACAGAAGAAACTTCTGGGAAACTGCAATGAACTATTTGACCAATTACGAATAAGTGTAATGTTCCACGTGTGTGTGTGTATGTGTGTGTGTGGTATAGATGATAACGTGAAATCGTGACGATGACGAATATTCTTATGTCAATTGCGTGACACTAAATTTTACTACGTCCAAAAGGTGTTTCTTCATGACTGGTTCAACATGAATCATGCCAAAGTAATCTTTTAGATTACACGTACGAAAAAATTACCATGTTTAACTGAAATATGTTCGAAAAGCCTTTTGCACGGAGATTTATGACCTGCGCTACAAGTTTTCATTTTGCGCAATTTAAATTTCGCATTTATCTTCTCATTAGTCAGTACCTAAGGAGATTTTTATGATTTCACGGGACCAAAGGAACTTGCTATTAAAATGATATATAATACTGAAATGAGAAAAACTGTTCTTAAGTTGCATTTTTCTTTAAAGTTCATCGTCTTTTTAAACTCTTAACTATAACAAAATATGGATTACCATTGAAATATTACAAGTGCTATGGTAGCTTTCAAAAACCTCTTCGGAACTTAATAGCTACCAAAGCAATGTACTGGCAACAATATGCGATAGTTACATACAATAGTTTTTACATTACGCATTGTTTTTTTTTCACAATCGAAGAAATTTTTTTTTCGAGACCGATAGCTCAATACAAAGAAACAAGCGGGATCGTGAAAGAGGAAAACATGCTTTTTCCTTGCACTTCATGTTAATGGAAACAATTCACCGAAATAGTTTTCCATCTTCTTGCGAAAGTCTATACTATGCGATCACGTGAAGCATCTGCAAACATATTTCGGGGTGACGTCATAGTTTTTAGATATCTTAAAAACCATAAAACTTCTGCCTCTTTTCGCGGTACGTGAAATCTCTCACTTTTATAGAAAAAAAAATACTTCGCTGTAGAAGCTCTTATGTGCGATAACTTCTAAAAGGGCTGGTTGCATTCGTGAAATTGATTTTTCGTGCCCTCCGAAATTAGTAATACATTTAATGGATTGCATGACGTTTCAAAATTCAAGGCAAAAATCCCTTTTTTTCACCATTTTCCCTGAATGTCCCTTATTCAGACGGTCTAGTTGTTTTAATCCCATATCTGATGTTTTTTCTCTTAAGTTGAAATATATTGAATAAGGGCAGAAAAATGGTATTGTGCGTAAAAATATAGTTTCTACATGATAGTTTCTACATGAATGAAAAGCGTAAAAAGAAAACATTTTGTGAACAGAATGAAACGCCCATTCCTTTCCCTCCTATCACCATCGAGCTACTTCAAGGAATTTCATGGACTACAATTCATCGGAAAGGAAAATTGTCTCTGAAAACTAGGATTTGCTAGCAGGATTTTGTCAAATGATCATTCACGTGGTAGTTATCGGTCTTACAAAATTCTAATCAAGTGACAGAAATAGTAATTTTCTAAATAGCCGAGAAGAGAGGTTAAGTGTTTTTTCAATTACAGGTCATTATCTCGTTTGTTTTCTTCGGATTAGCCTGCAAATCTTTTTAAAACAGTCAATAAAAATGAATGCAAATTTCTGTATACGAAGCTTAAATCTATAGAGGAGGTTTTAAAAAACTGAAATCACTCACATTAAATATTACTTTCTAGGTTTTCACGTTAATATGGGAATATTATTGAGTTTTTGACGTTTTTAAAACGAATGTGCACTACTTTTCAGTAACTTATTTTAACATGTGAAGGTGGTCACTAATCTTGTAAAACTCTTTACATTTATTTTTATGCATAGAATGTTTTAATGAAAGTGTGCAGTGAAATTACGTGATTTGTAGGTCGCTTGAGATTATAGACAGTTGTGAGAGTAGATCTATATTTTGTCTATTAGTCATTTTTAAAACTGTTCACGGTTTAAAAAGAATTTCAATTGGCATATCCTGAAATTATTTGGACTCGGAATGTCGGGACTCGTATAAGATCAAGATACCTACAATCAGAACATTCATTTTTATAATAATTTTTTGGTGAGGATTTTATGCATGAAGTTTCTATTAATTATATAATTGTTAGTAAATCAGGATTTGGAAAGACCACCAGCTGGCAAAAGTCTTGTTAATTTCCCACGCAAAAGTCGAATTCACAACTTCACGACATAGATAGTTCCTTTAGCAATGTTGATCGTAATTCAATCTGCAAGCCGGTGATCACTGCAATAGTCTTCCATAGCCTTTCAGGAATCCTATAACATTACTCTGCGTGTAACCCTGTAACTTGAACAAAAACGTACCTGTTAATAAAACAAATTCTTGCCTTTACATAGGAACACCGCCAGCGGCGGCTTATTAAACATGCTGTAGACCGTTGTTGAACATGTATTCGTTAAATCCACATTGTATCAAAAACCCTGTTACGTCAAATGTGTAAAAAATTAAAATAACGTCGTCATCGATTTTTCGAACTGCATGTAAGATCCCGGTGTAGAAAATGGTGGTCCTAACGCGAC